TCATATCCAAAATGAACCCTACTATTACATAGCAACTGACATGAAGTATCAAAAACAATAACGACCACTACTACCACAAAAAGTCATGGAACCTATAATTTTAAGCCAAGTGAAAATACCTTTTAAAACCTAAGGGAAAACACAGGCTTTTCATATATATAAAAGAACTGAATGAATTCATCACCAGCAAATGTTAAAGGAAGACACTCAGAGGATAAATTGCTAGATGAAAACATAAATGTACACAGTGTCCAAAGTGGATTTATCTGCAACAATTAAAATGTGGATCCAACCCAAATGCCCAGTAACAGGTTAATGGTGATAAGTCCTAGAAATGGAACATTACACAGAAAAAAAAAATGGATTATCAATTCACAAACATGGATGGATCTCAAAATGCCTGTGCTGATATTTGGTGGAAGTCATGTTAAAAAAAAAAAAAAAAGAGCAAAGAGCACATATTAGACAATTCCATTTCCAGAAAACACAAATGAATCTACCATGAAATTGACCCCACTTTGCCCTGAGGTTGCAAAGATCAGGGAGGCTTAGGGTGGTACAGAGAGCCCACGGGCTTTCCTGGGGAGATGGGGCAGCCTGTCTTGACTCCACCAAGGCTGTTGTGAGACTGTACCTGTGTCAAAATAGATCAGATCATACATTTTAAAGGTCTGAAGTTCTTTGAATGCCATTTATATAGCCATAAACCTGCCATTTCAGTTTCTCCATATTATTGTATAAAATATGGAAAATTTTTAAATAAAGAAGAAGCAATAAAATCGCTGGTTACAACTGAGAAGGCATTTTTGGATACTTAGGTGCTTAGCATTCTATCAAAAGAATTTAGCCTGACATATTTAACCAGTATATATTAAAATAAAATATATAAAATAGATTGTACCTATACATAAACCTATTCTGATTATTTGAAGATGTGATACATGTGGAATAAAACATCTCATATGCACTACTGATTCTTTTCTTGATGTACATTCCAAGATGATCCCAGAGTCTAAACATTTTTAAGATGCTTCACAGTTTCTCCTAGAAGGTGGAGGGAAAGTACTGTATCCGAGTGGACCTTCAGCATGGAAGACCAGGCCTTCCGGAGCCAGCCCAGCCTGCTTTTCCACAAGTAAAGGATGAGACTAGTTGAGTTTCCCATTCACTAACAAAAATAACTGCTGCACTAAGGAAGAAGTTGTTTTAAATAAAAGACACTGGATGAGTCACTGAAGGCTGCCAGAACAAAACACCCCAGGCTGAGCCGCTTCCCCAGACATGGAAGGCCCAGGACCAAGGTGCCAGCTAGGTACCATTTCTCATGGGGCTTCATCTCTTAGTTCTGAGACGACAGTGACCATCTCACCATGTGCCCACACGACCTCCTGTTCATGCAGAGGGGAGAGGGAGGGAGAGGAAAGCGTGTGCATGGGTACAGGCCAGGGCTGTCCTTACCCAGGCCCTAAGCTGATGGGGACAGAGCCTCACTTATGACCCGCTGTAACCCAGCTTCCTCCTGAAGACCTAGTCTCTAGCTACAGTTTCTAAGAGGGCTTCTGCATATGAGTTTTGGGAGGATACACATTCTCAGTCCATAGCAGATATCTATTTCAGCAACTCAAAAGTGGGGCTCAAAATCTAAGGTATTTTGGTGAATCAGATGGTCATGCTTATAATATACCATAGCATCCACTTTAGTAGAGAACATTATATGTGGGTAACTGCCTTGATTTTCTCTTTTTCTCTAAAAATGCCTTGACCTCACCATCATTTCTGTAGGTCATTTTTACTGGACGTAGGACTCTAGTTGGATATCTTTTTCTCTCAGAACTTGGGAGATCTTCTCCACTGTCTCCTCCATAGTTTCTAGGGTTCTTTGTCACCATATGCATATTCATAGCCAGTGGTTTTTCTCCAGCTGCCTCCAAGTTTTTCTCTTGATATTTTTGTTTCAGTATTTTAGCTATTGGGTCACCTTCAGGAATGGCTTAGGGACAGGTTACATTCTGAACAACGACCACTAGCTGGTTTCCTCACTGTATGAACATCACAGAGTGCACTCACAACTAAAGTGGTACCATGTCACTAGGCCGCCCTCCCTTAGAGGACCACCGTTATTAACCAAAACATTGTTATGTGGCATGTGACTGCAGCTTCCTAGTTCTACCATGAAAAAGTGCCCCAAACTGAGTAAGTTAAAACAACAGAAATTACCCTCTAATAGTTCTGAAAACTGGAAGTTCAAAATCCAGGTGTGAGTAGGGATGTGCTTCCTCGGAGACTATGGGTAGGGCCCTTCCTTGCCTCTCCACTTTATAGGAGGTTGTCATCTGGTGGTGCTGACTTTCAGCCATGTCCTTACCACCTGTGCCCCTTCCTCGGGATGGTCCTTGCTGTGTCTCTGGCTCGTCCTTCCTTATTTCAAGGACACTAGTCATGATAGCTTAGGGCCCACTTTAATCTAGTAGGACTCACCTTAACTTGAATACATAGCAAAACCTTATTTCCAAATAAGGTAACACAGTAAATGAGCACATTAGATTTTCTGTACAATAAGGGATGAGAGAGACAGCTCTGGATCATGAGGCTCTAAACAAGTCAGGAGGGTGTCTGTCTCCCATGAAGCATCAGGGAGAGCCGTAGCCGTCCTGACTGGTGAACTTGTTCTGCCACCTCAACACATGGCTCCCTTTCTGGACTCGAGCACCCCCAACACACGCACCCACATCCACATACCCACATCCACACACCACAGCCAGACACGTGACCTGGGTGTTGTGTGGAGTCCTGGTATCAGTCTTGTAAAAACTTGTGCAGCTAACTCTAAGGCACAGAGTTGGGGACTATTGAATTGACCCAAAATGTTCGCATTCCTTGTACGTGTGAGAGACAAAAAGAGGCCTGGGATGTGGCTCTTGATTTCAAAAGAGTTTTTAAGCAGTCCTTGCCTTATTGTTTGAGGCACACAATTAGCACTCCGTAGCATGTTCTAATTCTCTAGGTCGCTCTGTCCAGGACACAGAACTGACTGCTAACTTTGTGCCAGCCACAGTACTGGGCACAATGGCCTTTACACAGCCAAGGGTCATGGTTCCTTCTCTCCTGGCTCTCCATTCACAGACACAGGGGAAGGAAAATCCACAAGACCCATGAAGTAAGCTCACAGGAGCCAATCCAACAATAACTGTGTATGATTGATTGATATCATTATTGTTCTTGGACAAGAGCATTGAATATCTCATGGCTTTTTGAAAACAGTCCCGTATGTTAGTGGGCTTGTTCCAGGTTCTTGTTGCAAAAGATGAAAGGACGTAGATGCACCTGTGTGGGTCAGAAACCCACCCTGTAAAGGTCTGTAAACAAGTCAAGATGGCGCCTGGCATTTTGCAGAGGGAGTGGTTTGTGAAGTAACGCCAGCGAGCCATTAAGTGTGGAGATTCCTTATTGGTTGACTGCTGTATCTAGTTTATGTTAATTAAGATAAGCTGTGTGTAATGTATATGTACCCCTCCGGTCCTACAGTAAACGGCTCCCACTCCTGCTGTATCAATGTACACAAGTTGCTCGTCACCCCCCAGTTATTTTGCTGCAGCCGGACTGCGGCACCACCCCAAGAATGGCTGGTAGCAGGCAGGAGCATGCTCGTCCCACGTAGAAGCCCAAGGTGGGCCAGGCTGGGTGGCAGCGCAGACATGCAGCTTCACCTCTCTGCAGTGTCCTCCTCAACCTCTGGTCTCTACAGGGCTCACTACCACCCCTGAATAGAGCCAGCAGGATAAGTTAAATTAAAGGGCCCCATCCTGCTATATCTCTGTCCTTCTGCTCCCGGCAAGAACCTAGCCAGCTGACCTCATCGAGCTGAAAGGGAAGGTGCTCTGCCCTCTCAGCCACCACATGCCCTCCTAAAATTCTGCTACTATGGAGGGAAGGGAGAATTGAGGTTGGGGACAACAAATGTCCTATCAGGAGAATGGGAGCAGTGCCCCACTCGCAGGGAGCAGAGCCAGGCAAACGATTACTTGTCATCAGTTTGGGGACAGGAGGTGCTGTCTTATCTAAAAGAAATCATCAAAGAACGCATAATAAAAAATTCTTTTACTATTTATAATGAAGAAATAGTGTTTAAAATAATATGATCACTCACCTCTCATCTGGAAGCCCCTTGACCACAAATTCCATGTCACTACCAACACACACCATCCAATTTCCTTAATCTCAAGAGCTACACAGCATTTGGAGGGAAACCGTGGGTACCTTTTTGGAAAAATGCACCCATGACCACAGCACAGCTGAGAAAACGATAGCAATTTTATTCATTTGCAAGAGATATAAACAAAGCATTAGGTAATTGTTTTTCTAGGTTTCCAGCAAAAACTTTTGAAATGTTTAAAGTAAATAAAATCAAAATATAGTTGGATATTACACTGCAAAGAGCACTAATTCTATTCATCAGCTTTAAGAATATTTTCAATTGAAACCAATTGTATAATCTATTTGAATAAATACACTGTGTATAGATTATCTATAGTTCATTTGAAAAATAGCATGATGTTGCTACTAAACTGGATTATAATTAAAGATGCCATATGATAAAACTGGTAAGGCCTTACATTTAATTATTTGGGGGTAAAGTTTTCTTAAGAAATCGTAGACAGGATGAAATAATTTGCAAATTCATCTACCTTAGAACTGGATGGAATTTTAGGTCCTCATCTGGTTCAAGCATCTCTTTCTGACCAAAAATGTCTGTCCCTCTTCAGATCAAGTAACACAGACTATTGATGTTCTGTGACTCAGCCAAGGCCACAGAGCTATTAAGTCCCCCTTTCCTCAGCTACTGTCTTGTAGCCAAGCAGATCTCAAAGCTGATTCCATGTGCAATCACAAGACATTCAAGTGCAAGATAATTTACTAAGAAAACCCATTCCAGGATGCACTGTGCTCACTGAGAAAGATAAATTAAATTTGTGTAATGAAAATACACAACAAACATTGCATTTAGCTTCTTGACTCCAATTTTAATTAGTGACTCATAGCTCCTACACTGAGGAAACACATAATGTAAACATCAATATAAATAAATTGCTGGATTGGCTAAGTGAAAGGCAACCAGCTCCTTGCAGACTGCTCATTACATTCAGAGCCATATTTCAAAGGAAGGGAAGGGGATGGAAACAAGGAACGCACAGAAGGCTGGAGTGTCTGCAGCGAGAGCAGCTTGGCTGATCACCTTCCTGTTCAACGCTGAGTGTGAACCCAGGGTTCTATCCAAGGGGCTCGGAGCCTCAGGCACAAGGTTGCTGCCTGCTCTGCGAATGTCCCCCAGCACAAACAGCTCTGTAGGAATGGCCGTGAACCGGTGTGTTGTGTGGAAAGGCATGGCTGACGGAGACGTAGTGCCTCCAGACCTGAAAGTCATGACAGGTGAGGTTGTAGGGACGTAGGTGTTCGTCAGAAGGGGCTGCTGGGCTCTCTGCTGCTGCTGTGAAGAGCTTCCTGGTGGCTTCTGCACACCTGATACTTTCTGGATAAGATCCATCTTGGAGAAGTTTGACAGTGACGGAGTTGAAAACATGTTCTGAGAACATGGCAGAAGGAAATCGCCAGTCCCTGTGGAGCCCCACCAGGCACAAGCTTGTCAGGGCCTTCAGGCAAATAAACGGCTGGAGTCAAATAAAATGCCCAGTCTCCCGTTTTCTGTCACACAATATACCTGGGCAACGTGAAGTGGGAGCTGCCTGTCAAGCGCAGCCCTGGATCTACCAGGCCGACACCTACTCTGCTGAGATGGGGCACCTGACCAGAGACCTACAAGTCCTGAAAAGTGTTTCGGATCAGGCCCAAAACGGTCTGCAGGACCTTCTCTCTCGAGGGGCTGGCGTCAACCTCGAGGCAGCCGGGATTCTCCATCCGTCGGTAGGACACCTCCACCCTGGGAACAGGCAGAAGGAAGCATCAGCCTGGTTCCTGGCACAGCTCTCCCTGCAGAGAGACTCTGTACCATGATAATAACCACATGAGGCCGAGTGCCTCCTCATTCACCTCCCAGCTCCCCTGAGCCGCTAGCTTTGCCCACAGATAACGGTAAATGCATTTTGCTTAATAAATGACAACTTAGCAATAATGTTTAACAGCTAGCATTTATTGACTACTTATCATCTGCCAAGCATTAGCGTTCTGCCCAGTTCTTCTCATTTAATACGCAAAGTAGCCTAAGGGGAGGAACCATCTTTATCACTGTTCTGCAGAAAAAGAAACCAAAGCTCAAAGAGGCCAAGGGCCAATTTCTCCCAGTCTGTTCCCTGGAAGATCTTCACAGGGGCCAGAGTCCTCTGCACAGTCGCTGCCTGAACTTAACTCTTCCAGCACTTGAGTGGAGGGCACAGCTCCTGCCAGGGTCCCCTATCATCTCTCCTTTCCGGTCAGCTGCAGCGAGGTGCCTACGTGGCCAGTGTCTGTTTATCACAGGCTCTGTGGCACAGTGGTCAAGACAGGACCTGGAGCTGGAGCATCTGCTATGCCACCTACTAGCTACATCAGCCTGTCACATCCCCTGTTCTGGCCGGGTCATTTGTGTGATAAGTGCTGAAATAATACCTCTGTCAGGAGTTTGTAAAGAGGCTTAATGGAATTTGTATAAATGCAAATTGCTGGGCATGATAGCTTCACATGCAGCACAGTTATTTTTATTCTTTGTAGGGTGACACTACTGTGTGATGACAATGACATCACTGTTTATCTGTTTAAGCTACTTTGGTTTTCGCCTCCAGAACCAGGGCTGGAGACGGAGCCACACTTGACCGTGATGCCGCAGGCCTGTCTGGACTCTTCGCCGCGGTGCTCATAACCCTCGGATCAAAACAAACACTGTCTTTGAAGGCACAAAGATCTTGACTCTAATCCCAGTTTTACTACTTAATAGTACGGAAATGTAGACAAATCATTGAATCCTTTGAGCCTTGGTTTTGTCAACTGTTAACATAAGGCAGATGTGGCCTCTCGAGGGAGGCTGTGGGAGAACTGCACCCAGATGTAGGTAAACCGCCTGACGCAGGGTAGGCACTCTGCGCTATGCCCATCATATCCAGACTGGGAAACCGAGGCATGGACACCTCACTGTCTTACCCAGGCTCGTGCTGTTCCTGGCACAGCCAGGACAAGCGGCATGGTCTGATCTCCAGTCAGTGGACTTTTAGCTGTAGCCCCACAGTACGGGGCCTGCCCACGGGGCCTGACGCAGCTCAGGGCACTGCCTCTACCTTGGAAACACGAGACACAGTCACTTTCTCCATGCGCCTAAAGCCAGTGCCAATTCTGGCTCAGTCCTTGCAGGGATGCCCACCACTTGCCTTGCCCCAGGGACACCTACTTCTGACGAAATACGCTGTTGGCCTCAAGTTCAGCCTCTTCTCTGGTCTGCTCCAGGCCCCGGTCCCGCAGCCTCTGTGCCCTCTCCTCAGGACTCACGGTGAGCAGCAGGACGAGGTCAGGCTTGAGCAGGTCCCCTGGCCACTGGTATACGGGGTGGTGGGCAGGAGGCAGGTGCTGCAGACCCCCACTCAACTCAGTGGCTATGCCATAGGTGGCTGTGCTGTGCCAGAACCTGAGAAGAAAAGCAGCCGTGAGTTCCTGAACCCGCCAGATGTCAAGTAGCGCCCAGGGATCAGCTGGTCAGCACAAGGAACCCAGGGCTGGCCTGCGGGCCCCCAGGGTGATGCAGCAAGGTAAGTAAAACTGAGTTCTATCAAAAATCACAAGACAGTTTGAAAACAAGAGCAATGATGAGTGGGCTCTCCGTGAGGTTGCCCTTACTCGATTACCACTGTCCCCTGCCGTGAGCGGAGGCTGCTGCACGGGGCTTGCCCACAGGGTGCTGGTACTGTGCTGGGGTGAGGGCCAATAGAACAGACCTGTGGGCCTTTCATTTTAGTCGAGTGCTGTGTCTTGGGCAAACTCTGGACACTCAGGTCTCCTGTGCTATTCACACTGAACGTGCCCATCCAGGGAACCCTGGGCTGGACCCCGAGCCTCCAGGCATCTGACTGCCCGTCAGCGCCAGGCAAGCAGACAGGTCTTGTCGCCCAGACTACCACAGGCATCTGCACACTCCGTGTTCTCTGAGTGAAATGCTCAGTATGAAGACAAAGGCCGATGATTCAACAAGACTCCTTTACCACAGAAGTCTTGAGCAACCTCTACCCACACATCATCCAGCCAGAGGAAGGTGCTACCCTAAAAAATGGATTTCAGAATATTTAAACATGGACAAACCCACTCCGACAACACAGAACTGCTTTTTGCTTTTCCTCTGACAAGAACTAAACTGCAGACAAGCCAGGGACACAAAGCAGAGAAATGGAATTAAAGCCTGTTTTCTATAGAGTTCTCTCGCTGACAGCCCTGCTGTGCTTTTAAAATAATCATGCCCCTGGACATCACCTCCACTCTTTGCACTGTTTGGCGTTCTGGATCCCACCATCAGGGGAAGCACAAACCCAGAACCCTTGGCCAATACATCACACATGGCTTTAGAATCATGCTGTCTATTTTTAGAGTGATTTGCTAGTGTCAGAGACCCTGCTCATGAATCAACTCACTGCTATGCATCACGGGCCTTGAGGGCAGGCAGGGGAGGGCGTATAATATACCGCTTTGACAGATCAGCAAACCAAGAGACGGAGGGCATGAGTACCTGCCTCCACTGCAGGTATTGATTCAGCACCCAGGGCACCAAGGAAAATATGCCCCACCTGAAGTCATGGTCTGCAGGAAAATTTTAGTCTTCCCCCCTTGAAATACCAGGGAATGACTGTAGATATGCTAACACTGGGCAAGTTGGCAATGAGGCAAAGGTGTCGCCCAGGCAAGTGTCCCAAAGAGGAACAAGACTCCACAGCTTTTGCCATTTCTTCTAGCATTCCTCATACTTGCCAACTTGGAAACAATTAAAACACCCCCACCCAACCCCACCCAGCCCACCATCCCCCACCACCAAAGTAATACCCCAAGCTGCCACTGTAGCTGAGACGAGAAGCCACAGCTTCAGGCTAAACTTGCTGTTTCCCTCTCATCCTCATGGTACCACCACATCCTTTATTCTTAAAAACCATCTGGGTGATCTCTTATGAAATACTTCCAATATACCAAAAAGCACAGAGAAAGATATCATTTCAAGAAAGGAGTAGGAAGTCTCTTCCCTGGTGCAGCAAAGCGGCTGTAACTACCAGCTTCCCAACATGAACCAGCAGAAAGGCTAGAGCAGAGTCAGGCTGTACTAACTGTGGGTGAGGGGGGCTCCCAAGGGAGGGCTCAGACCCTCCTGTGGGACAAGATGAGGCTGTAAGTTGTTTCCACCACTCTAGAAACTTTGTTCCATACCTACGAAAGCTGAATACACCTCAACGCCATGCCCCTGCCGTTCCTCTCCCGGAAACCTATGCATCAGAATCGCATGTACATTGCAGCAAAGGTGTGTGAAAGTTCATTACCAGACAGAGACCTCACAAACACAAGGTGGTGTGAAAAAAAAACTGAATGCAAATAGCATTTGACGTAGCGTTGCATTCATAGGCAGTTCAAGAACAGGAAAAAACAATATGTGGTAGATGCTATCGGGAGAGTGGCTACCACTGGGCAGGAGAATGGACCATGTTCAGGTGGAGAAGGAGCAGATTTATGGGGTGCAGCAAGGCTCCCATTCTTGACCAGGTGTTTTAGTGAGCTTTTTCACTGCTGTGACCAGGACAGTTTTAGAGGAGGCAAACTTTATCTGAGAATCATGGTTTCAGAGGTCTCAGTCTGTAGTTGGCTAACTCTATTCCTTGGGAATGTTCAGTCTCTGCACCAGGAGGTAGAGAGAGAGTCTTGCTCACCAGGTAAAAAATATACCCCAAAGGCAAGTCCTTGGGGACCACTTTCTTCAATCATACCCCCACTGCCTACAGTCACTACCCAATTAATCCCCATCAGGGGATAATGCAATGATTAAGTTAAGGGTCTCATAACCCAATCAGTTCACCTCAAAACTTTCTTGCATTGTCTTACGCACAAACTTTTGGGGGGACACCAAATAGCTAAACCATAACCCAGGGTTCAGGTTATTTGATAGGCTCACTTCCTGAAATTCCTTGGGATTTACATTTATTATTAATGCCCTTCTTAATACGTATTGAATTGCTTAAATGAAATTGCTTAGATTCAAAAACAACTAAAATTGCACAGAAAGCAGTAAAATGAATACTTGAGTAATGTAAAGAAATAATACATCACAAATGAAGCCCTTCTAGACACATTGGCAACCACATTTCTCTCTGCACATAGGAATATGGCTCTCTTAAATTCAGTGCTCAACATTCCTTCATCTCTCCATACTCTGCAGTATTATTTCACATGCATTCTGCTGCGCATATTTCTGCAATGTGATTTTTTTTTTGCATTTAACATTATGGTTTTGTAATCTGTGCACAGTGATGCATTACCCTTGTGTATATTGCCACATGATATTCCATTTTACAAATATGCCAGTATTTTCCTTTCTATATTGGTGGGCTTTTGGCTTTTCAAACTTTTTGATAGTATAAATGATGCTGAAATAAACTCTGGAGAGTGTTCCTCCAGTGAATGGCAGCAACCTTCCCCTCTGCTACATCTCCTCAACCTGTTCTGCACAGGACAACACCAGTGTCCATCTCTGGTCAGCCCCACACATGAGTTCCCATGGATCTGTGTCTTCTCCAACCCAGGTCTTCACCAAAATCCTGGGAGCAAAATGGCATCTTAGTGTGGTTGCAATTTCTATACTCCGTGTTGAGACATTGTTAAACTCAGTACCCCTTGCTATATAGCTTTTGTCCATTTTTACTGCATTTTAAAGCTATTATTTATATGTACAAACTTTAAAATATCAGTTCATGCCACTCCCATATCTAAATTCTTCAGATAATTCCCCACTAAGAATAAAATTCACACTTCCCCGTGACCTGCCCCACATTTTCCTTCTGTCCTTCCAGAAAGCCGGCCTCACAGGCTGTGTTTCAGCACACGGGCCTCCCTTTGATCCCTGAATCTGTCAGCCTCTGGCTTACATGATCATTCTGCACCCCTGGAAATTTCACACCTGACTCTTTTTGATCACTGTTGAGAGATGCCTTCTGAGGCAGGCCCTCTGCGCCATACCTACTGGGGAGTTTGGAGGTTTTCAGTGTCATGTTACCTTGATTTACCCTCTTCCTCATATTTACGTTCTCTGAGATCACCTCACATTTCTGCCCACGTGGTCACTGTCTTCTGCAACTTGTCACTTTGCTCCACAGAAGCAGTGTACTGACGATCTCATTTACCCTAAATCTTTTGGTCTAAGAAGCCTTTAGCACACGTTAGGTGTCCAATAAATCTTTGTTGAATCAGTCAATGAACAAATGAACCACTAAAAGCACAGAGAGGCGAAGCCCAGACTTCTCATTCACTGGCAAGTTATTCAACCTTTCTAGGGTCTGTTTCTAATCAGTTAATTGGGGATAACATTTGATATCTTTCTACCCAAGTTACTGATCCAGATGTCACTAAAATGTATGTAAGTTCTGTGCCAAATGCCATGACTGGTATAAGCAATTAATAAATGACAGACACGGTTGCTATTATAATCTTAACACAATTTTCACTTGATTAACACAATAGGGTGTTGCATGTGCCCCACCACACCCCACACACGTCGGGGAGAAAATGCCTGATTCAAGGAAGCTTTATACACACCTGTCTACGATCACAGGAGACTTGGCAGATGCCTTAGCTATTTCAGAAGCCACAATGTAATTGCCCAAAGAGTAAAATGCTCTTTTAATAATAGTTGGTTCATCATCAAAGGTTTTCCTCCACTGGCCAATGCAAGAGGGTGGTGAGTGTAAGAGGACAGCCCTGAGAGACCTGGAGACTGCCTGGGTCACCGTGGTCTTACCTGCAAGTCACAAACAAAAGACATCACATTTTTGACACAGCCCCTGTAGTATCACAAGGTTCACATTAACATCAAGAAGCAAAATAATTATTTCAATCTGTCATTGAAAGGAGGCTATCTCACACTAGGGTATTTTATATAAAGTTTCAGGCTGAGAGGAACTTAGGATTCCTCTGCTTGGCATTAGAATATCTGGAAGGAAAAAAAAATGATCTTCATTTTTATGAATTAATGATGAACTTGGGTCTGCAGGCTCCTGATACCAGAGCTCCTTTCACGTGCTCCTTTATTCCTGGCCCGTGCTTCTCTTCACCCCTGCCACCCACATCTGACCTGTCTTGAGGAATGACCCAGGCACAGTGCTGTGGTCTGGACCTGGGAAGTCCCCCACAGTGCCCTGTGTTCGAGGCCTCTTCCCCGTGCAGCAGTGTTAGGAAGTGGGGCTTTTAGGAAAGGTTTGGACCTGGGGCTCTGCCTACATCATTTGATGGGTGAATAATTGGAATGGACTATTAGGAGGTGAGGCAGGGGCAGAGGAAGTAGACCACTGAGAGCATGCCCTGAGGGGCTGAATCTTGCCCCTGGGTCAGTCTGTCTTCTCTCTCTCTCTCTCTCTCTCTCTCTCTCTCTCTCTCTCTCTCATCTTGCTCTCACTCTCAGTCTCTCTCTCCCTCCATTGCCCAGCTCCCAGGAGCTGAACAGCTTTCCTTCTGCCACCATGATGTTCTTTCTGCCTCATCTCTGGCCAAGAGCAATGGACCCAACCGACCATGGACCAAAGCCTCTGAAGCCATGAGCCAAAACAAATCACCTCTCCCGAAATCGTGTGTGCCGGGTATTTTGGTCACAATGGAGAGAAGCTGAGGAACACATGTGGCATCCCCAGTGCGTCTCCTGGTCCCACCTCCCTTCTCACTTCTTCACCCCCTGCTGCCACTTCCTCAAGCCCCTTCCAGTTCCAACCCTGACTCTATCACTCTTCCTGCCGTGGCTCCCTGGGCTTGGCCGTTGGAGCCGCTCTATCTGGATTTAGACTTTGGTTCTTCCTCAAAGTTACAGCCCTGCTCAGCCTCTTTCTGATCCCCTTTGCACAGCTGCAGGTGTGTACTCACATCAGCCTCTGCCCTGGACCCATCCCTTAAGCCTTGGCTGCAGTGCTGAGCTGAGCATGGGTGCGGATAAGAAAGTCACCCACTCCAGGACTCTGTTGGCTGGCTTCTCTGCGCTCCTAACGCTTAGCCATATTTTCTCTCCCTCCCCACTCCTCTCTCTCCACTTAAGTTTTCAAAGATTTATTACAAACTTTTTATTTCTTTTATTTTATTGTATTTTTCTCTTGGGTTGATAAGATGAACCCTAGCATTTGTCAGTGTCTTCAGGAGCTGTGAGCTCGACACACAGTATGCATCTAATTTTCCCAAGGACCCTACAAAATAGGTGTTGATTAATCACCTTATAGAGGAGCAAACTGGTACTAGAGAAAAGTAGCAAATTACCCAAACACCCTGCTGATGGGCCTGGACCCAGAATGCACTGGTGACAAGTGAACCCTCCTTGTCTCCCCACGGCGCTCTCTGCTCATGAGTTTTTCATGCACGCACGTGAGTGCTGATGTTAAATATTTGGAACTTTTTTAACCCCACAGAATCTAAATTAGCTTTAAGTATAAAACAAATGAGCAGAGCCTGCACTGGCTGCAGGACTGATGCTGTTGAGATTTTGTGTGACTCCCGCATAACTAGGACTGGATCCAGCAGAGCGGGCACACCCAACAAGTGACAGATGGCCATCAGAAGTCCAAAGCCACTGCTTCTCCTCCAGATCACTCAGAGGGAACCAGGACAGTCAAAGCCAGCCCTCCACCTGCACCACAGTCCATTTGGTCATGACACAGGGCCCCACTGGACACTACTGTGATGCTATTAGGATAAGTGTGTGCCCTTAAGTTGACAAGGAAGGGCCACACCAGGCATATGACACTCCTGAAGCTGGTCCTCATGCCAGGCCCCACAGGTGCTAGTGTTCTACAAGCTCATCCTCCTCTTCTCCACCCCTGTCTGCCCCAGAAGCCACACTTCTTCCCCTTGGGCATCCGAGTCTCACTGCAGACATGAGTCGTGAGATCTGTGCAGCTCAGAAGGCTTTTCCTCCTCCATTTCCTTGTTCTTCCACATTTTTCCCAAGATTGTCCTCTGAACTGCCTGGGGTTCCTGGGCACACCATGCGGGTCACGTCTGTGCACCAGTGTCCAGGCCACTTCTCTTTCTGGAGCGCCTTCCCTGCACCTGTCCCCTGACTAGCCTTGTTGTCAGAACTCGCCCTGTCCGCATGGTGTCCCCTGGGGAGGCCAGCCTTATGGCCTGCCTAGTCCAGCACCTGCTGTACAGTACAGCCAGATCGAGGCTCTGTATGAAGTTCTGTTTCGGAAGAACTTCTTTTTTTCCACAACTGAACAGTGAATGCCATTGTCTGTAACTACAAAGTCTCTTACCAGTGGCATCCAGTCCTTCGATGGCAATGACTGGGAACTTTCCTCTTTGGACCTGCCTTGGGCACTTGTCAACCACATCAAGAACTGCCTGGGCTTCCGGAATAGAGGACGTACACTGCAATACAATGGGTATCCATCAGCAGCAAGCACTGGGGCTTTTGGAGTTGCCCAAGACTAGGCCTACATTAAACCAAGGGCCACACCAGGCATATGAAACTCCTGGTATCCTGAAGCTGGGACAGGCTGGCCACCGTAGTTTTGTAATGGGTAACTGAGGCTTAAAAAGGCTCGATTCTCTGGATCACACACATCCTGCATTGGTCAAGACCCATACTTACAGGGCAGTATAACTCAGTCAGAGTGGAACCACAGGCCCCTCCTGGAACAGAGGGTGGCAAGTTGGTAAATGAGCAGTGTGTTTCTGTCCTGTCCTAACAGCTCAGGGAGCTGTGGAAATTGCAAGGCTGGCAGAGCAGTGTCTACCTGAGAATTCTAAGTCCTTAGCTGTGCAGTGCTCTATCCCATGCTCACCACACCTCCACAGGAGGCCCAGACCCTACTTATTTCTGTGCTTATTGGAAAAGGAGATCTTCCAAGTGCTTCACAGTATGAAGCTAGCCAATCTCTAAGATAACTTTGTAAGAGTGGTACTAGGATTACTCTCGTCTTGTGAACCAAGGTGACTGAGGCAAAGAGCACTGGAGAAACTTATTGAAAGCACCTATAAATGCCAGAGATTGAACTCAACCCCAGGTGAATGACTTTGCACTCTTACCCACTCTGCAACCCTGTCACATAAGGCTAATGAATCACAGGTCAGTGGGCCAGTCTGCATGCCCCAGATCCCACCTGTGGTCAGTCTTCAGTCTCTTTCAATGATGCTGTGACTCACCTGTTTCCTTAATCATTGACAAGAACCCTGAAAGACAAACGGGTGTGGAGGAAAGGACGAAACACACAGGTGGAGTGAGGGTACAAGGCCCACAGCTACTGAGGAGGAAGGCTATTTATGCCTAAGTTTCTTACACTCCAAACTGGTGTCCTTTCCTCTACACCCCAAGATCCCTGAATGGCAGCCACTACCAAGGAAAATTACCTCGCTGTCATTATCCTCCGGTTCCTAGCCCCTCTCCACTCCTGCTGGGATACTTTCTGCATGCACCACAGCAAGCATGGCATTGCTTGGTGTTAGGATATGTTCTGTGTCAGCTTGGAAGTTCCTTCAGATAAGAATCTCGAAAGAGCCAGTGCCTAATGCAGAGCCTGGCATACAGGATGTCTCCACTAACTGATCTGTGAACAGGAATAAACAAACTAAGGAGGGAAGGAAGTTCATTACAGGTCAGCCTGCTGGACAGCAAACTGCTTGGTCCAGTTCTGGTGTGGAGGATCCAGATGCCATCCTGAAGGGAAAAAAAATCTTACCGTCTCTAAAATAGCCCTGGCAGTGTCCAGGTCCCGGAAGACCACCGAGCTGAGGAGGTGGGGCACCACTGGATGCAGCGGGGGCTCCAAGGTGGGTAGGACGCGTGCGCAGCCCACCTGCAGCTGCCCACTCTCCTGCAGTACCCAGACTCGCTGCCACAGTACACCTTGCGAGTCGGCCTCAAACTCTCCCAGGTGCGGACGCTCAGCCTCCTGGACTCTGCCCAGCAGTTCTAGCAGAGCGCGCCGGGTGTCCAGGCAGTCACAGGGGTCGCGCAGCAGGAAGCCGTGCTGCATGCCTTGGGCCTGGCTGCCTGGGCAGTAGCAGAGCAGCCTGTGCAGCTGGCACCGCTGGAAGGGGTCACTGCGCAGCTGGCGCTGCAGGTTCTGGTGCACCCGAGCCGCTTGGACTCGGGCCCCGCAGTCGCCGTCCGCGGCCGCCGGCAAACACAGCGAGTAGCTGCGCCCCGGAGGCCCCAGCAGCTCAGCCAGGCGGGGGTCAGGCCGTGCATCGGAGCCCTCCGCGCCCAGAGCGAAGTGAGCTAAAGTGCAGTCCCTCAGCTCCAGAGCGAAGCAGCGCGGCCGAGCCATGGCCAGAGCGCAGAGCCCGCGCCAGGCGCGCAGCCGCCCTGAGAGCAGCCAGAGCAGCAGTGGGGCGCGCGGGCGCCCGGCAAAGGCCATCAGCGCCACCCCGCCACCCCGCCCTTGGCCGCGCCGGGTAATCGAAACTCGCCTGGGGGCGGGCGGCGGGGAAGCGCGGCGGGAAACGAAAGCTACTGGCGGGCGGAGCGGCTCTGGGCGCCTCCCCGCGGCCTCTCCTCCCTCGAAAAGCCGCTCCGTAAACCGCCGGCGCGCGGAGAGCAAACGCTCGGCCCCCGCGTCCCCGGCGCGCGTTGCTGCCTGCGCAGGGCAGTTCCCCGAGGCGGCAGCCTCTACAGGGGACGTCCCTCTTAACCCTAATCCGGCCCTTAGGCTGGCGGCAAATCAGCACCGGAGCCGCGCCCGGACCTGGAGGTGACAGGCGGCCCCCAGCCCCCTCCCCCAACTCCTCCTTGGTTTCTTATGCCCAGCGTGTGGGGCTAGGCGTGCAGGGCCGAGCGTGGGGTTGGGGTCTTCATCTCATGAATCTGAAGAATAAAATCCATGGACACAAGAGTGAGAGCAAAGTAACAGGATTTATTAGAATAATAGAAAGGAGAACTTCTAAGTGGGGGGTGGGGGGGCAAAAGAAGGATAGGAAAGAGGGGCTACCGTCCAGGGGGTTATGTAGATGGATAGGTTTAAGGAAGCCAGCCCCCTGCCCAATCCCGGGCAAGGCACTGAGTGTCAGGAGGTGTTCATGCAGCCGTTAGTCCAATCAAAATATCAATCAGGTATTTTCCCTTCTTTGGAGAGACATGGAACTCTCCAGTCACATGGTCCTGATTTTAAAACAGCCCTTTTGTAATTTCCTTAGCAAACATCTGCAGGTGCCCTTTGTGCTCTCCTGCCCTGGAAGCTGCCCAGGGGCCCATCTCCCTGTCCTCCCGGGCTTATCTCTTCCCACTGACGTCATTCTCTCTCTCTGGAATTTGGGCAATGACTGCTCTCACGTGCTTCAGGCTGAAGAGGGATGTTGAAAGGGGAGCGTCAGTCAGGGTCCCACTACAGAGGCCTCTCTAATGGGTCCCTGTGAAGTCAGGTGGTACTTCCATGGTGGGTAGCATCTCCATGACCATCTGGAACTTAATAGAATCTGCAGCTTAATACACTCTGCATCAGGGCAGTACAGGGGTCCATGGCAGCAGTTGGCAGGTGACTGGACATAGGGTAAGGATCGGGCTGGAACAACAATAAAAAGATGGCAAAGTATTATTTTCTGTAAACAATTAGTGTTACCGCCAGTCTCTGAAGACCATGAAGATAGTAACTTGTTAGAGTCTAAGGTGTGGCCTGTGGTGTCGTTTATACTTGTGAGTGGAGGCCATTTAAGGCTTCAGAAATATCAGCAGAGTTGCTAAAAACACATATCCAACTTTTAACTTTAATAATGGCCCAGGTTTCCCCTGGAGCTGTGGAAGGCCATTGGATTTTTATAAAGTAGTTTTCTCCTTGGCCTTACCTCTGTGTCAGCAGAAGGGTCCTGTTAGCTGTGCAACTTAGGACTCTCTTGGTAAAGTCAGCTAGGGCTTTCGTGTGCCACATTACATCTTTTAGACCAACCCAGAGCTAAATAACCATGCCAGTGAAAACCAAATTGAGCTTACCTACCTAGCAGGTTAGGGACGTTCATAGGTCTCAGACTGACTTACAACAAGCAGTTATCAGACACTCTGATGTAAGACCCTCTCTTTATAGCTTCCCAGTTTCACTTACTCTTGGGAGGACTGACACAAGTGTACATCCCCAGTTACATTCAAAAGCTATTGCCTTTCTAAGTGTCCCTGTCTGACTGTATTTTGGTTACACTTTCCTGCCAGGTGTTCAAGACCAAGTTGGTAAAGAATTTGACTGCTCTTATCTTCCATTAAAAGTCAGGGACCACTCTAAGAAAGGTCTCCTCTATCATTCATGCATCTGCCAGGATGGATCAGGTCTTGCTGCCCACATGGGGCTTCCCTCAGAAGCATCAATGACTTTTCCCTTTCCAGTGACCCTCCTCTTTGCAGAATGTGCACTGGGTGGCTTCCTGTTTTCTAGGTTTCTCCACAATCCCCCTGATCTGGAGGCCCAGTGACTCACTAGAGTCCTTAGAGACGTCCCATTATTCCCTGAGTTTCAGCTGACCTTAGAGGGCAAGGTCAAAATATTGGCTGCTTTTTCTCAGCCCTTGATTTTGTCTCCAGGTTTGGGTTTTCAACATCCAGTAGGTTGGGTTCACCATTTTGAAGTAGGAATACTGAGTTTTAACTTTCATGTCTATAATTTTACAGCTACCTTTTTAATTACTTTGGGTCAGTATTAGTAGTAAAGGTCAGCATTATGTACTATGGAGAGATGGTTTATAGTCTTAAGTTAGCTCAGGTGGTTTTGTTAGAAATAGTAATTTTATAAAATACTAATAGGCAACACTTACAAAGATGTATGAGGATTTAGTTTGTACAATAGCTTTGAATCAAGATACATAGCTTCAATTATATCACTAAAGTATATTTAATGTCTATTTAACCTCTGCAAAGATTTATTAATTTTTAAACTCATAACATAGAAAATCCTTTACAAACTTTGTTATTTTTATAACTTTCTTACAACCTTAAATACATTTTAAAATTCACCTAAACCTTTCATTAGTTTTGTATTATATCCCTTGTTTATTTTGAGATCACAGTAATCTTTATAATCAAAATCTGTCTTTTGAACATAACTTTAAATGAGCTTAATTCTGGCCTACTTTGGAGGCATCCTAACATAGAGTAAAGTGAGAGGCAGAGCCTTAACTCAGATGAGGTATCAGAAATAGACTATTATCTGATGTTAAATGCATCTCATTTATATGACAATGAAACATTTACATAGTTTCAACAAACAGATGTAAGCTAGGTTTTTTAACCCTGGCAGTGTGTCCCTTTATGTCAGATATAAAGTATAAAAGAGAACCTTCATTGGTTACCATACCTGGATTAAACATAAGTAGCTTTCATTTTATAAGCTTTTATGTAACACTTAGACAAAGCTCAGAAAAACATTTTTTTTCATTTGTATACATATCTATCTCTAGTCACACAAATTTAGGGTGTCAACTCTATTGTAATATTCTAAGATAACAGTTGGTTTATTTAAACAGAGCTATAAAACAATCATTGAAAAAAAAAACTTTGAAATCAGTAGGAACCCTAATTTCGTTAGGGCTTAATTTTCTTAAATAATAAAAACTAAGAGACACAGAAGTTATCTTGATAACAAAATTATCTTGAAGTTATCTTGAAACAAGTCCAGATCAATGTTTTAAGAAAATCTTATAAATTTTGAGCATACTTAGATGTTTATATTGGTACATTCAAAGTTGACTTTTAGAAATCTCCTTAAGTAACTTTCCTTTTGTAACTTACCTAGACACTCTAGAACTTGTTTACATTCTTAGCTTTGTCCTGACTCCTTTTTATTTTGAACTTTAGAACAAAAAATATTACTTTACCATGCCAGGTACTTTCTCTTTTGGAAACATTTTTTCCTTATTAAGAAAATCCACTTTTGTCTCTGTAACTTCCTTATGTATTTTATCCTAGTTAACTTTTTAAATTTATAGTTTGAACAGTCCTTAAAAATTTATGAATGTGTATAAAATTACATTTTTTAGTGACATGAAATACAATTTACTTTTCTTGTAGTTTGTTGTTGTTGTTTGTTTATCAAAACTAGCTTAGGTTTTTTTGTTCCTTGCATATACAGCAATACACATAAGTAGAATTTTAACCTTTAATTGTCTTGTTTTTAGTGAAGACCCAGAAACAAAGCCATCTTAAATTGACTTACCATTTATCAATGATTTATAAAAGCACATTTAATAAACCTAAACTATGTTGTCTTATGGAATGTAAGAAGAGAAGAGTACTTAAATTTAAATTTAGCATTTGATGCTTGAAAATTTTAACTTCATAAATTGGTCAAATATCTCTTTTAACAAACATTTATGAATATTAGTACCATTTATGTTAAATCTAATTCATTCATTCTAGTTGTTAACATTATGTCAACCATGAAAACTAATGAATCAGACAAATCAAATTAACATTTTAACTAAGTTATTGCTGTCCAAGAAAAATCCTTAAAAGCAATGGATGTTAAACATTTTATAGATACTAATGTTTTCTTAATTGGCTGGCCACTTAAAAAATGTGTACATTAGAAATTTTAAAGACATTTTGCTCTTATCTTTTTAAACAGTTTAAGTCACGTGACCTGAAAGGCATTTGGATTTTTTTTATGAGCGCTCATTTATATTGTGGTACCAAAAACATGATACATATACACGAGCACACATGTAGACACAACATAGAATACACAGGTATACACACATATACATAAAAATCAACAAGAAGCAAAGATTTTATAGCCTTTTGCCAGGCATTAGATTCTCACATGTAGAAAACAAACAAGTTACAGATGTTTAATTATACAGACTGTCAGATTTAACCCTTTAGAAATTAAAATAGAGTCAACCACAGATTCTTGGAATATGACTCAGATATAGGGCAGCCCTGTACAGTTGGGGAGATTAGAGATAGATTCTGTCATCCAAGGCAGACGCTAAAATCCGAGGTCCAGGTGGCCACTCATCCATCATGGGGCAAATTTATCCCAATGTTTCAAAATGCAAGCTAGTGGCATGTGCTATTTTTGAGGCCAAGGCTCTCACCTCAATGAAAAATGGGCACCTCTCCCAAGAAAGCTGTCTTTTTGGCTGTCATTCCAACCACTACCACTATTTCTTTTTCCTGCTTAGTACTCATTAAAGGAGAAGGTCTGTTTTCTTTTCCAGCATGTTTGAGAGTTAACCCCTGAAAACCTGGCCTCTGAATAAAAACAACAAAACAGGACTAGAAACTCCGGTTGGACAAAACCAGACTAATTGGTGCAGGACCAAAGGTGACTTCACCAGAAAAAAATTGAGTTTAGAATATGAAAAGACTGAAAAAAATGGCATGGCCGTAATTA